AAAATGGCCACCAATTGCTTCCAAATGATCAAAAATGGGTTCCTTGTCCCTAATTTAGTCAGGTTTGATAATCTATACATGTTTCTAGGCCAAAAATTAATGGAAATATGAAATATTATATATTTTGGCACATAATTTGCATAATTTATGCTAATTAATGTATCGATAGAGGGCGTCTCTTTGGATAAAAAACTTTCTTTTGGCCCAAGGAACATTTATGCCAAGTTAGACATTTGTACTATAAAATGCAGCGTTTGACCTCTTAACAAGCCTACTACATAATTTATGTACAATGGGAATTAAAGGACTATTTTGTCTGAAATATGATATATCAGTGGAGGTATATGTGGGACGTCTTCAAACAACACTTAGTTATAATATAAAACCATTTTCACAATTATACCATTTTGTATCTGGCAATTTGAAAAGATGTTGTATCTTTCTTTTTCTAAATCAAACACTACGATTTTAAACAAAAGAAATAAATTTCTAATTTCTTTAAATTATCCTTGATTCTTATTTTTCTTATCAAAGGTGAAAGAGGAAGTAAGAAGTTAGATAACTACAGGAGTGGATGGAATGGCAGTGGCATTTCTCAAGAGGAGAGAGAATGTTGTAAGACTTTGAAGTCTCCTGCAATTTTCCGGAAGGATGATTGGAGAAAGGAGAGGTTCTAGGGCACTCCTCTGATAAAGGTGTGAAAATAGGATGGAAAAAATATATAAACCCATATAATTAAGGATGACTTTTGAGCAGCTGCTTCTCACAACAGGCCCATAGGGAGCAATTGCAAAAGGGGGGTTCTTTTTCTGAAAAAGTGGACCTTTTTCCATAAAAACTTCATGTACCTAGATCAAATTTACCCAGCAAAAAGGGGGTTCTTTCGATCCCCCCGAACCCCCCTGGCTATAGGCCTGCACAATGTACTACAGATTTACCTGAGAAACTTTTCTTATAATATTACGAGGACTGACAAAACGAAAAGACTTTGTTTAAAGATTTAAGAAAGAATTACTGGAAATCCATGTACTCTCCCCACTGTGTCTCCTTAGGACCTGCTGTTCCACAAATTGGAAGACATTTTGGTATTTAAACAATAAATCAGGTATCCATGAAGCTTGCCAAAGAACAAAATACAGCATAGCCCTAACCATGTATTTTCATAACCCTATACATCCTACTGCACAGCAACATGCAGAGAGTCAACCAGAAGCCTTTAAACAAGATTTTTGCCCCATTTGTGTAAATAAACTTCATGGACATCATATGTATAACAACATGCCCCAAGATACTATACGCAATAAAAAAAAAAAAAAGAAAGAAAACAACACTGTATTTCATCACAGCAAACTTGAAAGCATTTGCCAATCAGTTACTAGAAATTACGCAGTTCCTTGTTATTGAAAAGCTGGTCCATCCTTGTTCAGGTACCGTTTAGTGTTACTTTCAGGAATTTGACGAATCAACTATTTCTGGTACCAAAACTTTACTCTTTATACTAAAAAAAAAACACAAATTAACCTTTAAACCATTGACGGACAAAAAAATACCAAACCTAAAATGAAAGTAGTCAGTAGATCACATATATGGAATTAAAAGAATAACCAACAATTTTCAAACCTACTAGCGTGAGACAAACAACTTGATTGGCACTAACTAAATTCAAAATGTGTATGTATTTTTTGGAAAAAAAGACAAAAAAGCAAAACATTTATGTTAAGACTCACCCTAAAATCCCCTAAGATAACGCTCTGGTTAACTACATACGTGTAAGTCTGCTTAGAACATGTACAAGTCCTCTTGGGCTGAAGAAAAACTTCCAAATGTAAGTCTCTCTACAAGTATCACCAACCTATTACTTTTTTTTTCTCAGTGTGAGACAGGCCTGCACTCTTCTTGCTCCCTTCTTGCTTCAGTTTCTTCCAGAAATGTGATCGCTATCTCAGTCAGTGACTGGCAGTAGCTAGCTGTTATAATAACTCCTCGTAGTATGAATCCCAATACTAGGATGTAAATCTTGGCTTACTCGACAACCATTTCCTTCATACACAACTTCCTGTGGTTGAAGAAGTAACAGAATAAAAAAAATTTTACCATCCTATTTTTACCTTTTTTACTGCCACCAGTGAGGAAGTCGCAGATGAAAAGCAAAGCTGACAGAAGTCCGTGAGGAGGTGTTGGCCCAAAACTGAGGTCGGTTCACAGCGACAATAAATATACCAGTCATGAAGTACTTTCTTCCATGTCATCAAGCACATTCAGAGATATGAACCAGCTCAGCAATAGTCCACCTGGGTCCTGCCTTTTCTAATCATTCACTGGATGGCTTCTGACACTCTTTAAAATAGCTCGGTACTGGTTTCACCTCCGCCAGTGTGATTGTGTTCTTCTGTTGCCCAAGGACATGGGAAGTATGCTAACTCTGTATGTTGGTGAACTTTGAGTGCATTACACATTGTAACACAACAAAGTTTATTTAAACTTAAACATAAAACATATCAGTTTAAACTCCCCATGCTCAGCTGTTATATAGTGCGCCTAATAAACAAGATTACAGTCAAAATGATTACCCTAGCTGGGATGTTAACCTTTGTAAGGGCTAAAAACTGTTCCAAGAAAGAAAATGAAGCTTATTTTGTTGTACTTTTTCCTCGTTTCTTTCAACTCAACTAAATACTTTGGCTACATCACTTGGTAAAAATATTTCTTTATCTGAAAATCATGAAACAACAGAATGAATAGAGAGAAGTTAAAAAACTTAAGTAAACAAAGCAGCTTAAACAATCAAAAAAAAAAAATTCTTCTTGACTAGAACTAAAAAAACAACTGTCAAAAAATAGCAAATAATAATAAAAATAAGAAGAAGAAGGGGAAAAGAAAGAAATACCATAGCTGTCAAACATGTCAACACAAAGACCCTTCAAAAAATCTCTTAAGTGCAACAGTTAATATCCATTCACCCAATCACTGATATCCTGAACAGGTGCTTGCTAATTATTTTCAATGTGGAATCCTTAGCTATTTGGAATAGTATCTCTAGGAGTATGAATTTTCCACAAAAGCCAGAGCGGGCAGTATGGGAAAATGACAAAACTGTACCACCCATTTGGTGATGGTACTGGGGGTGAGGGGCGGGGTGGGGGGGTCTATTCACATTAATTGGCATTACATCCATTTGCCTATCATCTTCAAGCTACCTGGACAGGTGGTCAACTTGCAATAAAAACAACAAATTAAGCAGCAGGTGCAAATTTACATCTTCCATTCCAAAGACACTGTTGAGATGTCTCCAAAGTCAAGAATGGGTTTTAAATGTCACATCCAATCACAATCTGTGCACCACTAACACAATGAAAGTGACACAATCAAAGGATCACATTATATGACATATTGGTTATCTATGAAAAACAACTATCTTAGGGCACTGAGAGAAAAAAGTTCCACAAAAAATAGTATATCCTTTAACAGAATAAGGTTTGAATTTAAAGACATAAAAAAATTGAAAAATACTAATCCTTATTTCCCTATCATTTTTTGAAATATAAATGCCTCTTGTACAGTTAGTGTTCACAGAAAGCATCAGACAATCATCACACTTAGAACCCAATGAGAGCCAGTTTCATGCTGAATCACATAAAAAGCAAAATTAAAATTAAATTAAAATTCTGTCTCAGAAGTGAAGTGTTCCATCTGGAAAAGTAATAACCATTTAATTCCACCAGCACATGAGTCACTTGTCCTAATCTATAAAACTTACAAATTTCTGGATCAGATAAAATGGTTGTTAAATCCAAATTGCAGTGAACCAACAGAATAGGGAGGTGCATTAAATAGAAATAGAAAAAAAATTAATGAAAAAGGATATGAACTATTATTGGATCTAAAAAGAAAAGGACAAGTGGGCCTGAAATATAAGCGTAACGATGAAAGTCCAGATTATTCCATAGATTGAAGACAGTTTATTGCCCCTGTTTAAGGGAAGGCATCCCCAAATATCTGGATTTAAACTTAACACGCAAAAAAACATTCAACTGTACATCACCGTGTTTCAAACTCCATAAACTGCCACTGTGCTTAAGCCTGTAAAAGGGGGTACATGTGACCTTCCAAGTAAAAAGGCAACATGAGGTCACACATACCCAGACTAATATATGTACCTCTGTGACCTTTTGACGCAAATGACGGGGTTATAAATTATATTATATTGAGTACAGTTCTTTTTAAAGACTACATAATCCATAAAACAGTTATGAGCTCTTATAACTTGTGTTAATTTATATATATCGAAAACTGTCCCTTTATACAAAATCACTGAAATGAACACAAAAAGTCACTAGTACAACTTTTATCTCCTGTGAGTGGAAAAACTTCAACAGATTTGTATTTTTGTTGTAGATTACTTTTAAGCTTACAATATCTGCACCTGCATTTTGATAGTCATCTACTTTGAGCAATCAAGTAATGTTAATATGTATATATGTAAAAATTCCGCTTATTTTCAAATGTTAATTTAAATTTTATTTTTCAATTGTTTATTTCAAGTTATTTTTCTCTAAATTCTTACAGCCGTAAAGAAATTCTGTTCTGTATTTAAGTCTGAAGCCTACCTGACAAATAAACACACAGCTACACTGGGATTTTTACAACTTAGAGCATGTGTTTAACAAATCTTTGAAATATCAGTATATAAAAATCAATACTTTAGAATTTAACATAAAACACTTATTGCTACTTTTACATGTGCTTTTTGTAATTAACATTGTTAATAGTAAATAATAGGACAAAACTACCACTGTTAATTACATATCATCCTGCATTTAACAAACACTTCTTTTTCTTTAGGTAATTAACAATATAATATAATTGGATGATCAAAAATTTATTTATTTTACCTTAAGCATTTGTCAAACAGCTTATGCCTAAGAGATAGTCAAATTCCCCAAGAGCAAACAAATAACAATTAAGAACAAATTAAAGAAAATTAGCCAAATACCTCACCTCAGTTGTTTAACAAGGTTGTTTTCCTTTTTCCGCTGCAGCTCCCAAATCTCTCTCCCATGTATAGGTACAGTACCCCGCCGTGAGAAGTTAATTACTCCTGCCTTTCAGCTGGCTACAGAAAAAGTAACGCAATGTAACACGAGCAATTTTCACTGCAAAGGAGAGCCTCTATACACATGCATGCACACAAAATGTTCACCCTCTACCAGGGTCAGAGAGGGACTTTTGCATTAGATCTCCACAGATAATTATTTGATTATTCTGTGCATATTTCTGTTCAGCAAAAATTTTTGTGATAATAACTTCTAAATAATTTTTTTAAAAAGACATCATTGCTCAGCTGACCTCCGTTAGAGAGCAAAGAGTGCTAAATGTTCAGATTTAGAGAATTTGGCTTGGGTGTGCTATTCCGACAACTCTTACATCAGCTTACACCAGGTGCCTGATTTTATCACACACTAGCAAAATACCTTTGTTTATCAAAACTTTTGAGCCCCAGGCTAATAAAATGAGGTAGTTTCGTTTAAGTTTAGACACAAATAAAAACAAAATGACAAAATTATCAATATTCTGTCTTAATGCACTGAGGGAGTGAAATCAGAAAAAAAAATACACAAGTTAATTAGAAAACCAATTAACAGCCAAAAAATGCTCTTTCTCACAACAAGCTCAGTAAAAGGGAGTTATGACTCACGCATTCCACCTCAAATAAATGGGCTTCCCTGCCTCAGGCTTCATGTTAATTGCATCACTGCTAAAAATTGGCCAAAACAGCTTGGAAAGCAAATGAATCAAGTAGAAAGCCATTAGCAGCAGAAAGTGCAGCTCCCACATAGAAATGCAGAGGCAGCTGACTTCATAGGTGTGCCTTCTCACCCAGAACATTTTACCAGCCACCAATGGTTGATTGCCATCAGTAAAGTGTTATATATATATATATATATATATATATATATATATATATATATATATATATATATATGCTCAAAGTAAACTTGGATGATTTTTTGAAATAAATAAATAAATAAAAGTTATTATACTGTAAAACTTATGCGTGCTCCTGGAACCTACTAATTAGATCAAATTTTGATTCCGAGTGGACCTTTCCTGGCCAATTATCCGCCCCCCCTCCCACCCCCACCCCCCCAACTATCACTACAGTTCATGGGTCTGCATATCATCAACTTCTCCATAAATTAAGATTTCAAACTGGACTTACAATTAAGCTCAGAGATAATTTTAAAAAGCTTTTTTCTAAGTAAAATGCCACTGGATAAGCAAAAAGCACAAAAAAGAACATCCACAATTTTCAGGACTTGGCATTTCCAGTCAATATCTATTACATGTTCGAAATACTATAGTATTACCTCACTTTTCAGGTGTGTTTACAGCCAAGTTGTGCTGCCTCTTCTTAGTGTCATTCATCTCTGTATGTCATCTGAAAAAACAACACAAAGCAGGCCTAGCCTGTAGCTAGTGATTTAAAAACAGGCCTGAGGTCTTTTTTCAAAAAGGTGCATTCTATCCCAATAGACACTGAAGCTACAAGAGAAGAACTTTTGATTCAGAGTGGACCTTTTTTAGTAAAAGTGCAGTTCTTTCACTCCCCTTCCAATACCAATTAAATGGCTACTGGCCTGCAAAGGTACAGCAATATATATACCTTGTGCTAGGAGCCAACTGGAGTTGGCGGGTGCTTTATAAAAGTAATGGAAACATTTTATGCCAATTTGTAGGCCTCGTTGATAGTCTAAGATCGAGGTGGGTCACACTGAGAAAGGGCAATCTAACTTGGGTGTAAACACGACTTGTAAGACTTACATGATTGCTTCACCTTTTTCACATAATGTGTAAATCCTCAAGAGAGAAGACAACTTTATGAAACTGCAATAGATGGAGCCACTGTTAATCATTGACAAGCTATTGAAAAGCACCTGGAACAAAGTGAATTCACAAATAAAATATGAACAGAATAATCTGAAGTGTGCAGATTTGACCATTGTACCCCATGAAAATAGCCCAAGCTTTAAAAAAACCAACACTGCTAATGTCAACTAGTTATAAATCTCACATTATGATTATTTAAAATCAATGCTTCTGAGAATAATTTGAACACTGCTGGTATCTTTGCACTTACATAGAGATAAAGATGATGGCAGAGCCACCATCACTTGATTAAGAAGATAACAAAGACCAATAACTTTTAACGCGACCATGGTTTGATCCTGCAGTTATAGTTGACACCCCAGCAAGTGCAGGTCAACTAAAAGTAACAATGCGCCATCTCAGACAAGTATTGTGTTTACTCACCTGCCAAATAAACTGTGGTAGATAAGATCTCACTCCCCCGTAAAGAAAAGGTAGCGGGAAGGCTGAAAGATTGAATAAACTGAATAGGTGTTCACACCTGCAGAAACCGTGGATAACTCAATCACGTCACGCTTGGCTGTCACCTGGTTGTTTTTTATACTCAGTGGCGATTTTACGAAAATCGTTTTAAAATATTAAATCATCTTATTGTTTTGATTTAGTGTATGTATTAATTAATTTTTGCACTGTGGTGGATATATGTTCATTAACCGATCAAAGAGACGACCACATTCGAGCTCGACTTCGCCGCAGGTAAGACAGAGGCAACAGGCTTGAACAGCGAATGTCTCTAGCCCACGTACTGTACGTTTCAGTTATATCACTTTTGAATAATTTGAAATGGAGTTAACAATGAAATAAGAAGCTACATGCCTTTAACTTAACCGAATTGACAAAGTTTACGTACAAAAACAGAAAAATTATTGAGAGTGCCCGGTCAAATGCCACTTTCATTTTGCCGCGAACATGACGCATATCTAACTTGACCTACTTATGAGCAGGTCTCATTGACTAATAACACTTCCATGGAGCAGATTAGCAAAAAATGTAACTGTAGGTTTATTAGCAGCCGATATGAGCGCTTACATATTTATCATGAGATGAAAAAGCAGAAAAGATTTTAAAAAGTGCCAATAGACTAATTCAGCATTTATTCACAAAAACAAAACGAATACAAACAAAGAAATACAGTTCAAAAATTTAAGTTTCCAATGATCAGTTTCAGTTGGATCTTATTTGATACACAATTTATCATATAAATTCTATGAAGAAACTTTTCTTTATCATGAAACAGGAACATTCTATTATAACTTCAATCTGAAAAAAATATTCAGATTGACTATTCTGGTCTGAATACTTGCTCTTTCTGATACAATCGTTTTTTATTCTTCATACTTGCACTTTACCTGCATTTTGAGAGAGAAAAAATGTGTGTAAACGCTTTTTCCCAGTCAAAGTTAAAAGGCAATGTGACTCTGTATTGCAAACATGAAATCTTCATCCATAAATCCAGTAATTCAAAATCCAGAATTATCACCTCTATAAGAACAACTTTCTTATGATCCAGAAAAACACAAAACAACAGACATACATATAATTATTATAGCACCACAGGATCCAGTGTCCAGACACACAATGACCAATAACTGCCAAATAAATATAGTGGTCAACACCTAGCAATCCTGCTAATTAATTGGCACCAGGAGTGTCTCCACAGGATAGGGAATTCACATGACCCCTTATTAAACATGCTCTCATACAAAAAAGTTGTAAAAAATAAGAAAACACTTCAACAAATCCTGAGTACACGAAATGCTGACTACACGTATGATGCATGTTGTTTTTTTAAACAGAAAAGAAATGAGGTACACTGAAAACATTATTACTACATACTTAATGAAAAATATAGGCACTAAGTAGTTATTTACACCTAGCAGATAAACTTATCAAGCTTCACTGCACTCTAAAAACTCTACAATCTTCCATGGGTAAGTCTGGACAAGGTTTGACAGGTAGGTACAAATACCTGTACATTAAATTCCATCATATCTTGTTTCCGATGTCAACACAACATTATGCTTTCTGGAACCTCACCTTAGTCATCATTAGCACCCTTTCTACTAAATAACATATTCAATGCTTGGCACAGTCAAGAAGCACATGAATTCAATCTCAGTAAAATGAAGCACATAAATGTCTATTTTCTACCAATTCTTCATACCTATACCTACTGTCCATACAAGTACCTCTAGTAACGAGGCATGCAGGCACCTGCTATGTTACATCTATGAAGAGATGAGATTAATACAAGTCATAATGCATCATAATGATAATATCAAAATTGCATACATATGTATATATATATATAATATCATAAATTATTTCCTGACTGGATCCACCTTTCATACGCACACATAGAGACAAAATTTACAAACTTGTTTTGTGTGCCAAGGGGCATGAGAGATCGGTCAGTTTAATAATTTATACAAGTCACATTCTAGCAACGAAGTAAATAAAATTAATAATTGAAAACACCTACGAGTAGAATGCCATATCAGTATATATACAAAGCACCTGATGAGAATATACCATAAATATGCAGGTTCTAAAGCTTACTGGTTAATATTGCATTGACGTTTATGGTTCAACATATGTGACACAAACTCCAGACCTAAGACAGGGAAAATATCATTAAATGTTACCTCCTTTCTGTGTACTTTTTAATGAAATTCATCACTCAAATTTGAAAAAGAAGGGGAAAAGATAACTAGCACATTCGGACAAAAACATTTGGTGAAGACACCGCATTTCGGACAGTTCCATTCACAAAACAAAGGACAAACAGAAAACAAAGAGCAGCTTAATCTGCTGTTAATTAGTTACGATGATTGTATTGTCATTTAATTCAGTTTTCAAATAAAACTGAAATATTTAAGTTCAAATGAAATATTGGGGGTCAAGGAACTTGCATAACAGGTGTCAACCTTTAGTTAATCAGCCAAATAACTCATCTACCAGACTTCTGACCTCACGTCTTAAAACTATCAACTACTTTTAACCAACTACTTAGAGAGACAAAACTAAACATTCATTTTCATGCAAGAGTGCCCAGAACATGAAAAAATTGAAAAGTGCATGTTGTATATTGATTTCAAAAACTGGGGCGTTACTTTTCAAGCACTATCTACAAGTGAATGGTCAAAGTAAAAAAAAAAAAAAAAAGCTGTCCCTGACAGCATGTGACTCACACATAGAACATGTGAATTCTGAAGTGCATTTTTAGTTACTTTTAAAGTACACAGTGTATTGTCAATGTTACACAGATAAAACAATCATCATCATTATCATCAAATGAGCAAACATCTGTGTAGAAGAGCAGAAAGGGATAATAATGTACATTGCATTGTTCTGGACAAAAAATACAAAGAAAAAAAAATTGTTTTGGCATCTTGCAAATTTTGAATGCGACACTGTCACAACCACGGTTGCCATTTTGCTTTCAAAGAACGCTTCAGTGGGTTTTCATATTTTTTCATACTTGTCAATGTTTTTTCCTCCGACTAAGGTATAAGTCTTAATTAAAACACATCAGTAAGATGTATCATACCTTAATTTAATCAAAAACAAAAGATATTTTACAAGAATATCTCCATATGTAAAGCATATACACCCTGAGCTTCAGAGATAACTTGACACTAACCTCTTCACTATAGCCTATCTTCATCGTGTCAAGTTACCTCTGACGAAAATAGTTTGACCTAGTTTATATAAGCCAATCGAATCCATGTTTCAAAATTTTTCACCAAAGTTTGGTGAAAACGCTGATTGGTTGACCGTCAATCGGCAATCCTCGGCTGATTCCGCAAGCTCCATACTAACAACATAGTTATTGTCGAGTGCGGAGACATCCGAGTAGTTCCGAGTGCATAACCGTACACAAAGAAAGCATGG